CTTGCTCTGCATGCTGTAGCAGTTTCATGTAAAAATCTAGGAGTCGTTGCGATTCCCGTAGCCGGGATCGCTTGCGGGACATGCTCTGGTTACTCCCCTGACCGCAGCCCTCCAGTCCGCTGGGAATAGGAGCCTTGGGTTGCATTTAATGTTGCTGGGTGTGGCTGTGGAGGAGCACAGCTCTAGGACTAGGCAGCCATCTTGTCCACGCCCTTTAAAGTGTAATTTTGGCACCGACTTTTGCCTTAGGCTATACACAGACTTTGGACACAATCTGACCCCCCCCCCCCCCCCTCAGGCCAGCACTTCTTGAGAGCAATGCAGAATGTTCCTTAAGATGGGTTGTATCTGACAGTAGATTGCAAGCTCCTGTGGGGCAGCTACTGACGTGACTGGTTAAGTGTTCCCTACAAAGTGTTGCAGTGTTGTAGTGGTAAAATAATAATGGAGTGACTTGTTCCAGATGTGTACTTCTAGGAAACTGCAAAATATTGCACGTACTGTTACTATTAACCAGAGAAGAAACGATTTCTGTTTTGTGTAATGTTTGACAGCCTTTATTTATAGTTCATGGTAGTGAGCTCCAAAATAGATTCTTTTGCGATTTGGGTGAATGCTGAGCAGAGTAATTCTATGTCTACATAGAGTTCAGATGGTGTGCTGCACTAACAGGCATACTGTGTCTTGTCATTGATCTTGATTTTATAACCAGGTGCATGTGATGTAAGCAGGGAGAGTAAAAAGCTATAGAGTAGTGCTGGTCAGCTGGGAAATGAGATATATAGGCCCTGACACAGTGCAGTAGCACTGCGCTCTCTGATATTGTGCTCTGAATCAAGTTGGGCAGCCCATTCAAAATGAATGGGATGTAATGCACCTTGACAGCTGAAAAGTTTATCTTGCTGTAAATTTTTTATTTGCAACGTATCGCAGTGCACACTAAAGAGTAAGTGGGGGGGGGGGGTAAATAACGGCTACATTTTGTGGCAGTAATAGTAACTCCCGGTATTTGTTGCTTGTGTTGATGGTAAACTTAGTAACCCTGAGCCTTAGTAACCAATGCCAACGGCCGTTTTTCGTGGATTTTACAGCATGACCGATAAATATAAATGCGAAGATCGCGCGAAAAAAAACGGCCGACAGGCTTGCCCCACTAACGGCGTGAATATCGGTCGATTTTTCGTGCGGGCGAAAATTCGGTCGATAAACGGCCCGTCTATGGCCTGCATTACTCCTAGCATTGGGGTCAATGGCAGATGGTTATCCCCCAGCATTGGTGTCAGTGGTCACAATGGCCCCCTGGTGGTGGTCAGTGGCAGTGCTGTTAATTCCCCCCCACTGGTATAAATGCTTTTCATCAAACAGTATCTTCAGATATTTGCTTAGCCGCTATGGCGCGTGGTCTTATTGGGACTGCATCAGTGCCTGCACATAATATTTGGATGTCACTTGGTTTGGTTGAGGCCTCCTGTAACAAAGATAGGAAAGTGTCCAGCTACTCAATCTACCAGTCTGTGGGCAGTTGATTCCATCAGAAGCTTCTTCTACATGCTGTTTTGCTTGACGGTTAGTTGGCACATATTTTTTGCGCATGTGTTTAAACACATACAAACCCTCCAATCTTAGCTACCTCTATGTCTACAAACACTCTTCTTTTCCATTGTTCTGCCACAAAGGAAAATAAAATAGACCATCTCAAGACACAACGGCTTCAGAAAAAGCCTCTAGAAGTGGGTTGTTTGCTGAGCTGGAGTTTGCCAAGTTTAGCTGCTGTTTACCTCCTGGCATGTATTCAAGTTTCTGATGTCATGATGACCTGCTGAAAATAAAAGTACTAGATAGAAACTGGGCTAACCCACCTAAACAAACAGAGCATTGTTTCATATGACAGATCTTTATAAATGAGGGGGTGACCTATAAGGTGATTCCTCTAGTCGATGATGATGTTGCTCAGGCCCTTTAACTCCAAACTCAGGGTATTCACCATCTGGTAGCCTATTTCTGAAGGTGTTAAAGAATGAGCACCACCACATAAAAGCACCCGGTGCTGAAGTTATTAATGCAATATGTAAATGGTATACCACCACCTCTTCTTATATATATATATATATATATATATATATATTTTTTTTTTTTTGGCATACCAGAGTAGTTTTTGGGGCATGTATACACACTGTAAATGAAGCAGCCATACACATATGTTGAGAGCACATGATAGCTTTCCTTGTTCATGTGTCCACAGTGCCTATGTAAGCAGACAAAACTTTGTGAGATACTGGCATGTGGGGCCTGAACTGGAGAGAAGTGATTGGTTGCATCACCTGCCTAGCAGGCCTAGAATTTTTTGGCATTCTGGAATTTTTTGGTATTCATATTTTCTGATTTTTTTTTTTTTCTGTTATGCACTGATATACAGTGCATCCAGAAAGTATTCACAGCGCTGAACGTTTGCCAACTTTTATGTTACAGCCTTATTCAAAAATGGATTAAATTAATTTTTTTCCTCAACATTCTACTAACAATACCCCATAATGACAATGTGAGAGAAGTTTGTTTTGAAATCTTTGCAATTTTATAAAAAGAAAAAAAAAAACACATGTACATATTCACAGCCTTTGCTCAATACTTTGTTGTAAGACCAATTACAGCCTCAAGTCGTTTTGAGTATGATACTACAAGCTTGGCACACTTATTTTTGGGCAATTTCTCCCATTATTCTTTGCAGTACCTCTCAAGCGCCATCAGGTTGGATGGGGAGTGTCAGTGCACAGCCATTTCCAGATCTCTCCAGAGATGTTCAGTCGGGTTCAAGTCTGGGCTCTGGCTGGGCCACTCCAGGACATTCACAGTTGGCCCGTAGCCACTCCTTTGTTATGTGGGCTGTGTTCTTAGGGTCTTTGTCCTGTTCAAAGATGAACCATCGCCCCAGTCTAAGGTCCAGAGTGCTCTGGAACAGGTTTTCATCAAGGTTGTCTCTGTACATCCAGAAGGAAGCCTCTATTAAGATGATGTACAAGAGAGAACGCAAACAGTTTGCTGAAGACAAGCAGGCTAAGGACATGGATTACTGGAACCATGTCCTGAGGTCTGATGAGACCAAGATAAACTGATTTGGTTCATATGGTGTTAAGCGTGTGTGGTGGCAACCAGGTGAGGAGTACAAAGACAAGTGTGTCTTGCCTACAGTCAAGCATGGTGATGGGAGTGTCATGGTCTGAGGCTGCATGAGTGCTGCTGGCACTGGGAGAGCTACAGTTCATTGAGGGAATCATGAATGCCAACATGTACTGTGAAATATTGAAGCAGAGTATGATCCCCTCCCTTCAGAGACTGGACCGCGGGGCAGTATTCCAAAATAACGACTCCATACACACCTCCAAGATGATCACTGCCTTGCTAAAGAAGCTGAGGGTAAAGGTGATGACTGGCCAAGCATGTCTCCAGACCTAAACCCTATTGAGCATCTGTGGGGAATCCTCAAACGGAAGGTGGAGGAGTGCAAGGTCTCTAACATCCACCAGCTCTGTGATGTCGTCATGGAGGAGTGGAAGAGGACTCCAGTGGCAACCTGTGAAGCTCCTGGTGAACTCCATGCCCAAGAGGGTTAAGGCAGTGCTGCAAAATAATGGTGGCCACATAAAATATTGACACTTTGGGCCCAATTTGGGCATTTTCACTTAGGGGCGTACTCTCTTTTGTTGCCAGTGGTTTAGACATTAATGGCTGTGTGTTGAGTTATTTTGAGGGGACAGCAAATTTACGTTATACAAGCTGTACACTCACTACGTCACATTGTAGCAAAATGTCATTTCTTCAGTGTTGTCACATGAAAAGACAGAGTAAAATATTTACAAAAATGTGAGAGGTGTATTCACTTCTGGGAGATATTGTATGTATAAAAAAAATTTAACAATTTAAAAAAAAAAAAACCTGTCCATTTCAGTTTCGAATTTCAGCCAAGTGCATCCTGAATTTTTGGTTTCAGTCCAGAATTTTCATTTTGGTGCACCACTATTTTGTTTATGAATATTTGGGAAGGGTATGTTTTTTTTTTTTATTTGAAGACTTTTTGGAGAGAATCCCAATTTTCCAGTTTCTTCTTTATTGGGCATGTTTTTGTAAAATAAAGAACCAAAATTCTATTCCATAATCAGTGAGTGATCCTTAGCCTGTGCATGCTCAGTGTACGTTGTCATGCAATAGACAAATTGAAAAAATACCAAGGAGACAGGATGGAGGAACCTAAACTGGTTGTAAAACCTTACCTATACCCAGTCAAGTGACTGGTCTCAGGTGATACACAGAAGTGAGACAAAACCTTCTACATAAAGCTGTACCTGTTTCTCTGCAGCCATTTGTCCTGTACATCCTTGTAAAACTCGGAGATGAAAAGGATTTTTCACAGACTCACAAAGCAGAGGATGATGAGCTTCAGATGCACGCTGTACAAAAGCTCTAAGAGGTGATTGGAGGGAAGGTAAAACCCCCCACCCCACCTTCTCACAGCTCACAGGAAGAGCTGTGGCTCTCCATTACAGGCTTTGTGCTGAAGCTCCTTCCCGTCACCTTTTTAGCTCTGTCAGGAAAACTTGTTAGAAGGGACTCGTGTAGATAGCAGAGGAATGAGGCAGCAGACAAAGCACTTATTGCTTTGGAGAGCAGCAAGTAAACACTAAAAGTAAACAGATTTCATGTCGGGGAAAGACAACATCTTACAGTGGTTGTAAACCTTAAATACCGTAGAAGGTCTTCAGCAATTTGAAATGTACAAATGTCTTAGCTGTTTCCCAGAGCTTTTAATTTTGCACAAGTTCTTTTCGGAGCACTTTATGCAGTGAAATAGTCTTCATTTCATTATTGATGGAGAAAGTCCTTTCAGTAACAGCCTTTTTAGTAAAATAATTGTAGAAGGCTGGATTGCTACTCCTATAATTATTTTTTGCATTATGAGCATTGCAAAGACTGCATGTTCCCCTAAAGGTTTATTGTTCTCTTTACAGCTATGAACCAGCAGAGGCTGAGTCAGAGCGCACCAGTGAAATCTCCTCCTCCGCTGGCCCCACAGAGCCCCCAGAGTGGTGTCATGGGAGGTGGGGGCAATCAGATGAGGCTCCAGCAGCTACAGATGGAGAAGGAGCGCCTCCGACTCAAGCACCAAGAACTGCTCCGGCAGGTGAGGCCACAGGTTAGAAACTGCCTTTTGTTATTCTCTACATGTTTGTCCTGTCTGTGTGTCATGGTGTGGGGTTTTCTGTCATCTTATAGACATGGATATGCTTGCGAAATTTAAACATGCATTTATCCCACTAAGAAACGTCAACAAAAGAGGGAAACAAATAGTATCTTTTAGTGCGCATATACAGAGTTGTTCCAGGGGTGGTTTTTTTTTTTATGGCCCATCTTCTGTTAGTTTGTGTGAATATATGCAACCAAAAGCAGAATAGACTCCTCCAGTCTAACAAGTTTCTGGCTGATAATCAAGTTTGAATTGCAGATAACTCATCAATGTTGGTTTATGAAGATTTATGAAAGTTGTTTTTGTTACATAAAACATTTGGCATACAAGTGAGCTTTGCTCCTGAGCTGCTGAAACATTCACATACAGATCAGCATTACACTGTTAAACAAAGATCTCCAACCTATAGTGTCAAATGGCGCTATAGCAATTTTTGTCTCCTTTTGAATATCTTAAATTCAATACCTGGTATATTTTTTTTCTGCCCACTCTGCGGGAGCCGTGCTGTTCTGTCACACAACACTGCAAGGTCATGACTGGCGCATAAAGGACAGGAAAGGGAGCTCCTGTTATCAGAAGGACAGGAAGTGAGGGGAGGTATTCCCAACAGGACATGAAATCGGTGGCCAAGTTTCCAACAAGAACACAGACAGCAATAAAAACATGACAGGGCTTGTAACCCTTCTTCCACTCTGTCTATAAATAAACACAAAAAAAACCCAAAACCCTTTTTGCTAGATTTCCACTTTAAAAGAGAAGTTTGGGAGTTTTCTTATTTCTAATTATACTTACCTAGGTGGATGTAGCATCAACCTGATGCTGCATCTGTTTCCTTCCGGTTCTTGGGGTGAGAACTGAGCGATCAGAAACCACTGATTTTTCAGTTCTCCTTGCCGCTCTGAGCAGAGAGCCAGGAATGTCAGTCTCCAGCGCTCTGCCCTCCCTGTACTGAGTTGACATCAGCCGACAGCGGACTTAAGCCTGCTGTTGGCTGAAACTGGGTCACAGGAGTACAGAACAAACTGCACTCCTGTAATCCATAGGAAAAGTACAGCCAAACAAGCTTTGGCTGTACTTCTCAAAGTTTTTGTTTTTGAATTTGGAAGCCTTGGCAAGTCCCACCTGCATACAACAGTGCAGTTTGAGTCTTCAGCTACATCAAAGGCCTGGGTAATGGGGATTACTGTGTGTTCAGATAAGCAGTTGGGGGGGGGGGGGGGGGGGGGTAGCAGAGGTGCTGTGGAGGGCTAATCATTAAATCAAGGAGGAATGTGTTGGCACCGTTATGGGGCCCGCACTTCATTAGTGGTGTTGACTAATAGCAGATACAACAGGTTAACCTTAAAATCTTAAGAGTGATTGACTAGTGCTTACCTGTTTTTCTAAAGTGATGTGACTGAATGTTAATCCACCATTTTTTATTTGGCTGATGACATTGGTTGTGCTGAAGGTGGGTTCCAAAGCACACCTTCATTATTCCTTATTGGCTGTTCTTAAGTATTCAAATCTAGTGCTTCCCGTAATGCCAGAGGGTCATCTGAATTGTCTTTTGTTGTCCCATCTAGTAACCTTTCACCATGAATGACGCTACTAAGACTAAATTAATAGCTGCAGTGGTTTAGGAAGAAATTTAAAAAAAACCAAGAATATTCAACAGAACAGACTTTTTTTCAGTCTCCCAATTTGGCTATATGTTCTTCCTGTCTTTGTTGAATTTAATAGTACACACGTTCATTTGTCTTTACAGGAACTAGCTCTTCGTAGTCAGATCCCAACCATGGAGCAAGATGGTGGTACTCAGAACCCAGTGTGTTCATCGGGAATAACTCAAGAGCTCCGCACGATGACCATGAACAGTTCTGATCCTTTCCTCAACAGGTTTGTGCTGAGTCCACTTGTTCAGTAGAGAGATGAAATTTGCATCTGGATGTTGTAAACTGCTGGAAGCAAGCTTTGTACTAATTGCTGATTTGTCGGATTACCTGGACATTTTAGATGGAGGAGGGTAGCTTGGATGCTCCAGCTTTGGCTGGTGTTGTAGAGCGGTGTGTTTTGATCATGTACAAGACACTGCATGTGTGTATATATACATGAAATTGGGTTCGTAGTATTTACAAAACGGGACATACAACCTGATACGTCACACATTTTGCCCCAATGTCCTGCATATAACCAATAGTTGTATAGGACAATATTTATATATCCTTTTGTTTTTATCTTGGCTTACTTATTCTGCCTTGTGTTTGCAGTGGCACGTATCACTCCAGAGATGAAAGCACAGATAGCGGATTAAGTATGAGTAGTTACAGTGTACCTAGGACCCCTGACGACTTCCTTAACAGTGTTGATGAAATGGACACAGGTGGGTGGATTTCTGTGCTTTGGATTGGATGTAAAAATTATTGCTGATGGTGCCTGAACACATGGTAAAAATGCATGCTCAATATCTGTAAGTTCTCTACAGTTTGGCAAAGGTTGTTCTGCTTCTGTTAATGTGTGCCTAACCTCATATTTCATTTGTCCAGGTGGTTTACGATAAACAATAGCTTTTTGTTGTATCTTTTCTGCTTTCTCAGGGTTTCCAAAAATGCACCAGTGTATAGATCCAGTGAAGGATTGGCCTGGTTGGGTCAATAATTTCACGTCTGATTGTTGTAAACACTCATCATCATACAGAGATTTCTCTACTAAAGTCAGTTTTCTCATTGATAAAGAAGTGGTGTGATTTGGGTGTGCACCATCTAGTTGGCAGAGATGCAGGTTACATTGATTACATACTAGCAACTCTCTCTTCACCTGTCTTTCTTGGTGAGATATCTAAAATCCTTGCCTAAAAAGATGCTAGTGAGGCCACTTTTGATCATTGATAGAATTATGGAAGTCTACTCCCAGAGCCTTCCTCTTAATCTGTCCTCCTCAAGTCGGCTAGTCGTATGACGTGAGCCACCACTCTGTGGAATCACTGAGAACATGATGCACACCCTGCAGTCCCTTAGGCTGAAAGACTGCTGGGGAAATTCCTTGCATCAACGTTAAAGTGCAACTATATGCAAAACTTTTTTTCATGTTGGATAGAGTAAGGGAGGGTATATAACCCCTGCCAGTTTTATTCATCTGTGTCCTATTGGGGAGACTTGCCTCCACTTCTGTTCCAAAGCCAAAACAGGAAGTGAGAGGAAATATTTCTCCTCGAGTTCTGTTTCGGGGACAACCCAAAATTTTGGAATTTTCTTTTAATTTCACCTTCAATGATAACAGTAAACAGGACAAATAGGTTTTTATTGCTTTCTGTGCCCCCGTTAGGGAGATTCACCCTAATAGGTGTTCTAATCCAGCTCTCCTCTGTCCAAAACGGAGTGTATATATTGTATGTGTATATAGGCAAATGTTTGTGGACACCTGACCTTCATACCCATATGACAGGTCATTAATATGGAATTTTAGCCTTCTCACACTTTTTTGTCTAGAACACCCTCCACTCTTCTGGGAAGGCAAGATTTTCAAGCGTGTTTGTGTCCGTTCAACCACAAAAAGCATTTGCAAGGTCTTGCCTTCCAGCAGTTGGCTTCAGATTGCACATGTGTGGGTAGGAAAGGAAGCACAGTGCTTGTTCATGTAATATCAGGGCTGAGCATCCAGCACTTGATAAAGAGGAGGGAAGTGCAGGGATATAAGCAGCTTAAAAATTGTGCGTTTTTTACAAACCGCACTGCGTGTAGCGTACGGTTTTTGTTGTAAATAATCCCCTTTCTATTATTTACAGTCCATTCTCAGCTGACCTGCAAATGTTTCAATCCACAGGTGATGCAATCAACCAAAGTAGTATGCCCTCCCAACCGAACAGATTCCCTGACTATTTGGAAGCACTTCCGGGAACAAATGTGGACCTTGGTACTTTAGAGGGGGAGGCAATGAATGTGGAAGGCGAGGAACTTATGCCAAGTCTGCAAGAAGCTTTGAGTTCTGACATCCTAAATGATATGGAGTCTGTTCTGGCTGGCACCAAACTGGATAAAGAAAGTTTCCTTACATGGTTATAGAAGCTTCCAGAAGTTTCTTGGCATGGTCAATGAAGCTTCTAGTTCCTGAAGGATTTTGCTAATCAAGGGTGCCTATAATCTTCAAGCTGAACAAGGCTACTTGGCAGACTTTTATGTTCCAAATGAACAAAATCTTTTAAGACTTTTGACTTTTTATGTCTCATTTTAGTATTTTTTTTTTTTTTTTTCTCACTCATTGCTGCTTTGTTATTGCTGACACATTTTTTTTCACCATTGAGAGCGCAAGGTATCAACAATATTTTCAATGTCATAGCTGCCTCTTCAAGTATTTTTTATGTAAAGAGATTGGGAAGTGTTGGGCCATGCCTTATACCATTAGATATTCCAGTTTCCTCCAAGTCAAATGTAAATATCATGCAGTATACTTTGTTGTTTACCCTCTGTCAGCTCCTTTTTATATTCCCCCCCAAGAACACGATTACTCCTTTTGTCTACCACATGATAGTATTTTTGAATTTTGACTTATAAACAATGGCATTTGTTCCCACGTGGACAAACTGATGGATGCTTTGGCAATATGGCTTAACTGGTCCTAGCTTGAATTTTATTCCAATTTTCCTTTATTTTTTTCAAGAACAATGAAAGAATGTGGCAGATAAGAGATGGATCTGTTTGTATTTAATGTGATCCTCAGTTGCTCTCGTTGGAGTATGGTTTTAAAATATGTGCAGTCTTTTTATTGGGTCAGTGCAAGATGGTGTATTCGAAATATGATAGAGTGTATATGTAAGTAGTTTTGTTACTTAGCATCTTTTTTTTTTTTTTTTTTTTAAATGCTGGCTGGATAGAGGAAGTGTGATCGTGCCAATCAATGCTCTATGGAAGTCTGACATTTTTTTATACTGTCTGTGAGGTTTAGGGGGACAACAAAATCTTTTAGAAAGTGGTATTAGCTGAAAATAGAATTTTAAGTTTGACGTACCGAACAAAATCATTCCACCTACCTCCTAGTCTGTATTGTATTTTTTTTTTTTTTTTTTTATATCAAATGTGCCTTCTACATTAATTTCAAAGCTATGGTATATACGGTTTTGTATCGAGGGCTTATTGTATTTTGTATGTTGTTATCACCAGCCAATTGCCAGACTTGGTTTTTTAATCTGAGAAGGTTTCTTTGCCTCGGAGAATCATGAATATATAGAATTGCTTTATCAGATGAAGCGATGATTTTTGATGGCATGTTTTTTTTTTTTTAATCTGTTTATCCTTGAGGAGTGTTATTGCAATTGGATGGACACCGTACCCATTTTTGTACATTTAATATTAAATAATCATGTCTTACTGTACACGTAATTGTTTTTTTTATTAGAAAATTAAACAATAGCTAATTGTATGTGTGGTGTTTGACTTTTGTATTTCAGTTGAAACTGGGGGAGAGAATCTAACCCTAAATTTATTTAGAATCAATAAAGTTGGTTTATGGAAAAGTAAGGTTTTGTCAGATTTAAAAAAAAAAAAAAAAAAAAAATTTGCTGCTTACTTCCCCTCCAGCTGTGAAATGCATACAGTGTAGCAATATCGATGTCACCAAATGTATAATCGATGAGCAGGATGGTAAAGCATGTATTTAGTCAAAATGTTTGAGGTGTCTCCATTGTATACAGCAAGGATTTAATCCAAAAACATTGAAATTCACACAAATCAAGTCCCATCTTGAGATGGTAGGTTGTCCAGGGGGTGACACTGGGTAGATGTGAATCATTGGTAAAGTCCATGGGTGTCACCGATTCATGGTATTTAAACCCTCTCTGACTCAGAGTTCTCTGCCATTATGTCTGATCTATTCCAGCAGCTATTGCCACTACTGAAAACGGTGAGTGCCAACAAACATAAACGCTCTTGTGCCTCTTTCTCACCTGACTATATTCATGGGTTACAACGTTGAATAACTTGGCACACCTATATCTGCAGAAGTCAAGGGGAACTCTGAGATATTGGCACAGAATACTGAAGATCAACTTCTCAGCTTCTCGCCACATGCTAGCTACAGCAGAGTTATTGATTGAGGCAATGCTCCAAGAGCTTATTCACACCACCTGGCATTTTTGCTGCCTTGTACTAAAAATGGACTATTCCCACCATGGACCTGGCCATTCTTGCACTAAATCAACCCCCTGTTTCTATTGAGGGCATCCTGTTCTTTTAAAGTGTCCTTTGAATCTGTTGTTTTACAAGGTGAGGGTTTACAATTTAGTCTAAAATAGAAATAAAAGGCAAAACATACAGTATATACATTTTTTTGATCACATTCCCTTTGTTCACAGCTGCCTAAGAGCTAGAGGAGGAGAAACAGCAGCACACTGATCTTCCCAGTGAAAGGTGTGTGTGTGTGTGTGTGTGTGTGTGTGTGTGTGTGTGTGTGTGTGTGTGTGGGGGGGGGGGGGTTCAGGATAAGTCTCATCATTGGAGATCATACTCAGTTCCCGGCTTAGCTAGACAACTGACTGCACTGTGCTCTTCTGCCTAGTGTAGTCATTTTTTCATAGGAAAGCAGAGGGACTGGTAGGTATATGCAAAGGTGTTTCAAAGGAAGCAATACAAAGAACAGGATACTTTTTCTTACCAGTACATAGTACAGCAGGCACATATCAGGAATATGAAATGTTGAAGTTTACATATTCTTCAAGGATTCAGTTGATTAGGCATTCTTTTGAAGTCATCTTTTGCTTTTGGCATCATCATCGGCTCTACCACATTATCAGTTGCCCAGGCTATGGCAAACTGGACTGAAGAACACAATAGGGAATTTTCTCCTGATATAGATAATCCTTATTCTTTCTGCAGGATTACAGCTCTTGCCCGTGGCCCTACTAGTCTCCTTAGACATCATGGAGAATGCGATCCATCAAATCTCCAGAATGTCCTTACTTTCTGTGCATATGCGCAAATTTTTGAGTTGGCTGACCCATCTTGGGAGTGATGCCTTTGCGAATACCCTGCGAAAATGAGCTTCTCTTTGGAAAATTCCTTGAGGAATGTATTGAGGCAGTTACAGCACGAAGAGGGTTCCAACACCATTATCCACAATGACACCTCCCTTGCAAATTTTCCTTCTTTACTTAACCACTTCCAGTCCGGACACTTTTACCCCCTTCCTGACCAGGGCAATTTTCAGCTTTCAGCGCTATCACACTTTGACAATTGCGCGGTCATGCAACACTGTACCCAAATTAATTTTTTACCATTTTTTTGAGACAGATCAACGTTATTTTGGTGGTATTTATTCACCGCTGGGATTTTTAATTTTTTTGCCATGTAAATGAAAATGTCCAAAAATTTCGAGAGTGTTTTTCTTATAAAATTTTGCAAATAAATAATATTTCATCATAAATCTTGGCCAAAATTTATTCCGTTATCTTTTTAGTAAAAAAAAAAAAAATAAGCCAAATTAGTTTATAACCAAAAATCATAATTTTTAAACATTTTTTTTTTACATTTTCATTTTTTTTATATTTTTTTTACATACTGTCACCCTAGCAGTACAGTGTCACCATGGTGACACTGTACTACTTTTGGGAGGTGATAAATTTTTTTTTTTTTTTGTTACACGGATTGCTTTTACACCCATATAGGATATAAAGGCAATCATTTCTCTTTCTCTCTGTCTGCATTCTTGCAGCCATTGAGAACTACTGAGTGAGCTGTGATTGATCACAGCTTATCACATGGTACAAGGCTGTTGTGAATAGCCTTGTACCATGTGACCTCTGTGACCATTCATAGATTTCACACGTAGTAAGCAATGTCAGAAGTGACATCTTGCTTATTACTTTGCATGTGATCACTGATTGGCCAATCAGTGATCACATGATCGGGACCTCGTACACAGGTACCGTCCGATCGGTGTTTCACTGTGTCCGGAGGACACAGCAGACACCGGATCACGGTGCTGCGCGCTTATAAACGGCCACCCAACCCTGCAGTGCCACCGTCTGGCCGTTTATATACAACGGCCAGTCGGGAAGTAGTTAAAGGGTTCAAACTGTTTGCCCTCTCCAGGCATTATCCACTGCGTTCCATCCTTTCCGGGAAGACCCTTCACCATTAAAACCAATGGGCCTGTTAAGGAGCCTTCTTCACATTGAAGGTTCACCTCGACACCTGGAGGTGAAGGGTTGTCTACTGACATTTGTTCCAGCTTAGAATAGACCTGTCCCGGCCTTATATTTCATTCACTCTTTCAGAGCGGTACACAGTATCTAATACTGTTCTCTCTTTCTACTATCTGTTCCTACTTACTGCTTTGTGAAACGCCAATGGGGTTGATTTACTAAAGGTAAATAGACTGTTGCAGTTGCGCTCAAGCTTAGTAAATAAGATGAAGCTTCTCTTTTCAAAGAATACCAAATTACATTCAAGGAAAATACAAAAACTGCATTTTTGCTTGCAAATGATTGGACGATGGAAGTCAGCAGCACTTCCTCTCATTTACTAAGCTCTGGAGCAACTGCACTTGTAAAGTACACAGTCCATTTTTTCTCATGTCCGTAGCTTTATAGTCACAAGGAATGGTTAGGTAAAATTACAGAGAATTTCTACACCCAGATCCTTGTTTAGGGAAGTTGGTCTTCTGTCCTAATTACAACAGTAGCTTTGCACCTGCATGGCTTCATGTAGACCTGCCACTATTTTCTACCTTTTAATAGCAAACACAGTGTGACGAGTTGTACTCTATCGATTCACACATCAATGTAGTCTTTATATGCCTAAAAAAAAATTACCACACCACATTAATACCCCAGGGTGCCTTGTAGCTCTATTACTACAAGCCTCCTGAGCCTAAGTTTGTTTTGGGTTTTTTTTTTTTTTTTTTTTTTTTTAAAGTTAAGCTATAAAAACCCTACAGCCCTAGTTTTTTTTTTTTTTTGTTTTTTTTTTTAAACTATATGCCCAAAAGCTGATGCTCACACTTCTCCCTTTTGGTTGGCTCTGCATCCTTCTTGGGCTCATCATCTGATTTTGTGTTGTCCAAAGTACCT